GGCCAGCGGGTTAACTGCGGCCCGTGAGATGCAACCCGCGAAGCCCGTGGGTCACACCTCCTTGACCGGTGAACTGCCCGCTCAGGTTACGGGTAGGCCTATGGTCCCGAGTCGATCCGGTCCGATTTTCACGGGTCTAGCCGACCCATCCGTCTTGACACCTCTAACTGTGTGTGCGAGATCAAACGCATATGATTGTTAAGATGTATTGTTTTGGTGCTTAACTTGTACACAGTTGAGATAAGGTCATGTGTCAAGCTTCCGAAAGATTTCAAATTCATTCATTTGTCCCACACTTGATAACACTTGAAGGTAATCATAAATTTGACTAAAGAATTCCAAACTCTACTCCTGCATTTCTTTTCCTTTCGCATTTCTCCAACACCATATTAAATGTTCCTTTATTGACTCGAACGTCATGGACCCCTCCCTCACCCATCCCCGCCGCCTTTATTTGAAGAAGCATTGTTCTATGACTCTAACATGTGAATGAAATGCACATGTAATGTATACATGATGGAAGAGAATTGGAGATATGTTGACGCGTTGATCGCCCTGTAACCACAAGACTATTCTCCTTCAACCTCATCAAGAGGTTCACCTAGTTGAAGGCATCCTTCGGCAGCAACAGTGGGCTTCAGGTGGGGGAAATTTGATAGTTTTTTCATTTTTTTTAGTTGAAAATAACTATTTAAACGTCAATTCAATAGAAATTTTCTTTTCAAAAAAAAAAAAAAAAAATTCAATAGAAATTTTTTCCAGTCATCTGGGTCAAATGGACAATCATTTTTATGGACTAACAATGGTAATAGCTAATACAGTTCTTAGAAAATTCAACTCTTTAACACCAATAATTTGGGGGACCATTACTACATTTTCCATTTTCAAAAATATACAAACATTACTGCAATTGATCTTCCAAATTTTTTTTCATAATTTTCAATGTAAAAGTTCGTTTCTGGCTTCCACTTTCCTTCACCGCACAAACATTACTGCATAATTGATCTTCGAAAAATATGGTTAATTTCATTCACC